AAAAAAAAAAAAAAAGGCATATACCCGAAAAGTTTGCATGCATTAAAGAGTAGAATGATCTTTAGAAAAAGGACATACTAGACTCACATAAATTGACAAAAATAAATTGTAAAACTTGTCACAACGATTACTTCAATATTTGAAAAGAATAAAGAGTATTATGTTCCATAATAAGCATAGAAGAAGAAAAGGGAATTCTTAATGAACAATTTGGTTACGAGGATTTTGTCTCCTCATGTTCTGTATTTGTTAAGAGAATATTCTCATAGTTTTTAACTTAAATAATAAAATAAGAATAGAATATCATTTTTTTTAGATTTACATATATGTGGGTTCTCACATATACTAATAAAATCATGATATATATAATTAAAGTACGTTAGATTATAAAAAATAGTTAATATTATTTAATTAAGAGCTTTCATAAATTATGGATTTGGAAGCATCTTACTGGCAGAATTATAAGTTATTTAAGTCATATTTACATTTTAAAACACCATCGAATCTAATATGAGATCGATATGAATTGTTGTCAAATCGTATTAATTTTCAACAAGTTTAGGACTTGTATGAATTTATAAGAAAGTCAATCATAATATAAAAAATACATTTTGTTTTGAACAAGGCAACGTCATCATTCTTATTCATAAATATATTGATACAGTGTTTTTTTTTATTAGCAATAATAATAATAAAATAAAAGAACGAGGTATTAAAGATGTTTGTAAAATGTTAGTACGTAGCATATATAAATATCCAGGCTTTGTAAAATTACTCTTACAACAATAAAATTATTCCCGCATAATGAATACTATATCGTGATGCAATTTATGATTTTTCAAACTTTGAACATTATAAATTGTTATCTAAATACAAAGATAATATCGTAAAGTTCATCGGATGTTTGTTACAGTAGATCTCCCACTTACAAAAATTACTTTCTACCACTTCCAACTATAGTTTTTAGAAAATTGTTTCGTACATTATATTATATAACTTCTTTTAGTTCAGTACAACTTCTTTTAGATCACACCCAAATTGTTATCTTCAAGATATCTTTCTTATAAGAACATTGATAATCTTATTATTTAAGAAATTAATATGGAATTGCAATAGACATTTTTCTATTTTCTAACATAAAATTAGAATTATACATGTTCTTAATTTAGCCATACCTTGACTTAATATTATATTAATTTTTTTAAAATAAAAAAAAATATTTCTAATTAATAAGTGATATAAACATATTTATGCAAATAATGTATCAAAACAAAGAATTTAATGAATAAAAAAGGAAACAGTATCTCAGTAAAGAAACATGAAAATGTGATGCAAAAGGGGAAACGAAGAAGAGAAGGAAGTAAAAGTAGGAAAATAAAAATGAAATTTTGTAGCAGTGAGGAATATTCTTTGTAGCCAACAACCAGGAGGATGTATAAATATGCGAAGATAGACCTGTTATTGACCCCAATGTTTCTTCCTTTCACAATCTAAACTTGTTCAAGCTTCATCTTCTCAACCTACCCTTCAAAAAAGTTCTGCGACAGAGACAAAGGGAGAGAGAAAGAGAAAGGTCGGATCGAAACCTCGCAGGAGAAGAATGTGGCACATGTTCGTGTTGGACGAGGAACAGAAGGAACTGGGTCGGCGACAGGCCCCAGGATCATGCCCTTATTGTGATGGCAAGGTTGAAGCCATGGATGTCGAGATCCAGTGGAAATTTTGCTTCTTGCCCATGTGCTTCAAGATCAAGAGGAAGTTCTTCTGCACTTCATGTGCCAGACGTTTAGAATTGTTCTTTTAAACCCTTGTCATTATTATTACTATTATTATGATTATCATCATCATTTTATATATATAACCCTCTAGCTAGATTTTGGCCATGGAGAGAAAAACATACACTCTCTCTCTTTCTTCACCTTTTTTATATCACAAGCTTCTGTTTTCCCTTGTTGAATTCTGAGATTTTGACCAAAGGTTTTCATGTAAATGGATTGATTTATGTTTAATTGTGTACCCTTTTCTCCTTCTTCTTGTAAACTGATCTCGATCCTGTCGAGCAATTCATTTTCTGTTTTCTTCCATGCTTTCCCATCACTTTGAAGATGGAAGTGTTTTTCTCAGTTTATATTGATCTTGTTGAAACAGTGATTTCTGGTAACTGAATAATTGTTCGATGGGTAGTTTTCTTTTGGGAGGAGACACTGATTAAAATTTGTTAATATCTTGATGAGTTTAGTTTGAAGCAGAAAACATCCATGTTTGGCTATAAATTGAAACACACTTTTTTGTTTTCTCAGCTTTAGGATTTGATTTGATGGCTCAACAGCTATTGGTCCCAATTAAACTTTTATTTATTTTAATTGCCGTTGCTAATTTTAATATAATAAAATAAAATAAAATAACGTTTTGAAAATAGACTAAAACCGTAAAATGATATTGAATCATGATTGAATATTTTTAGCAGTCATTTCCATTGGTCCATCATGTCTGCTGCTTCTCATCTGAGAGAGCATCTTCTGTCATGGATGAGACGCGATTGACGCCAATTCATTAGGGTTATTACAATAATTAACGACGGCAGAAAAACGTAAATAATGTTTTTAATTTAGCAATAATATAATATAATTTAGACTAATTATGAAATCTTATGTTTCTAATGACGAATATTTCCTTTTTTATTTGAGTGAATCATATACCTACGCAGTGTAGGATTATTATTAATGATAAAATGAAATTTCAAAATACTTATTCAAACGTACACTCAAGTGTAAATTCTAATTAAACCGAAAGAAGTCTACATTGATTAATATAAATGCATTCCACGTATTCATAAAAAAAATTATGTTAAATCATGTAATTGTATTTTATCATTTATGGAAATCTTAAATTGACTTTTTTAATACGTTTTAATTTAGTTTTTTATTTTAAAAAGTTTAATGGCATCAAGTTATTTTCGTTAATATTATATTAAGAATAATGAAGAAGTGACAATTATAGTTTTTGTTAATTTTTTTAAAAATGAAAATTTATTACATGACGTTACCATATTTAATATTAATTATGTGATGTGATAATACCGATGGTACGAATTACTGTGACATTATTTTAGTTTTAACCTGATTTTTTACTTTTATTTTTTTTAAATTTAATTTTAATTTCTTTTAAAATTAAATAATTTTGTTCATTTTCAAATTAAAATTAAAGTAAATTTTTATATAAATAATTTATAAATACTTTTACTAAAATTTATATTTTTATTAAATATTTTTAACAAAACTAAATTTATTTATATTTATATTTTACATTAAAATTTATTTAAATTTGTTTTTAAATTTTAAATTTATTTGTTTAAAATTATTTTAAAATTTTACATTTAAATTTATAAAATTATTACTTTTAAACTAAACATTTTTATATAAATTATTAAAATTTACACATTTCTTAAGTATACAATTATTTAAAAGAATTGAAATATTTGATAAATTTACTTTATTTTATGAAATACAATTGATAAACAAGTTTTAGTTAAAATTAATTTTGAATTTTTTTCTATTAACATTACTTTTCATTAACAATTTTAAATCAATTTTAAATGAAATTTAATTAAAATTAAAATTTAAATAAATTTAGTATCATTAAAAATATTTAATAAAATTATCAATTTTAATAAAAAAATTTATATAATATTTATATGAAAAATAAATTTGATTCAATTTAAAAAAAAATGAAATTGTTTAAGTTTATGAAAATTAGAATTAAAGTGACTCAAGATAAATATAGCGTTTCACTTTTACATAACATGATCTCAGTTTGACCCCCTTATATTTTTATTTTAAAAAATAATTTTAAAAATTAAAAAAAAACGTGAACTATAACAATAATAACTTTATTGCATGAAAATTTTCTAAATAAAAATGAAATTAAAACGAATAAAAAAAATCAATTCAAATTTTTTTTAAACAATAAGAACCAATAACATAATTTAACCAAACATCTATTTTCATCACAATTTTGTCTTACATTTATATTGGGATTGTTTTGATTAATCGAAACTCTAAAAGGTTTTGGGTTAGTGAGATTATTGATATTAAATTATATATTATCTTATTGGCGGAGCATATAAAGTTTCATATTTTATCTTCTGTGGATAATGTTTTATTTATGTATGGTTAACGTCGACTTCATAGGAACTTGTCATGATAACTTGTTAAATGTTTTGGAACTTGTCATGGATTTCATAGGAAAAAAAAGGTAATGTTAATTTGATCTTTGCAATTAAAACCAATGTAATACTACAAAATACCATTACTTCATAAAATGTAAAAATAAAAATACTTTTAGTTAATATTAGGACTAATTTAAATTTTTTATAAGTGAGTATTTTTAGTTAATTCCTCGTTAATTTTTTTTGGTCAATTGATTACTCAAATTTTGTTAAATTATGGGGTGGTTATTTGTTCCATCATTTTTCTTGTCTCCAAATGTATATAAAATGATATCTTTCTTAATATAAGACGAGGAATATTTTGTATTATTTTGAATGAAAATGTGTTGAATAAAAAGGGACCTTCATCTTTACTTACATCAATAGTGATGACAACAAGAATTCTTTAATCAATATAGATAATTACAAAAGACTTTTAAAAAGCATGATAATATAGTTATCCAACATGTTTTCAATTAAAATAATAATAATACTTATAATTTTAGATTAATTATAATATTATTTTATATTAACTATAAAATCTCATATTTTTTAACATGTGGAGACGAGTAAAAAAACATGAGATAATACAAGAGTCACGTCATCCAACTGAAAACGAATTTGAAATGTATGGACTCAATTAAAAAAATATGTTTTAGTGTTTATTAGGCAAATTTTTTTTATAAAAAGTCGGTTAAAAATATTTAGATTTATGAAGAACATAAAACTTAATTAAGGCTAAACCTTGATAGGAATACAAAATTATGCTCTTAAAAGTATTGTCAAATAAATACTATTTGGCAAGGTTGAATGTTTATTCTTTAAAGTTTCGATTTATTTTATTTTATTTTAAATTTTAAATTTCATTTATTATTGTATTTATTATTGTGTTTTTTGTTTATTTATTTAAAATAAACTAAATGATAATGATTTTAATATTGTAAAAGTTTGATTTTTTTTTCGAATGTACTATCATTAAATAGTAACCAATTTAGAGATAATTAGTAATTATATTAACAGCTAAAAATTATTAATATTTAAGTTAGTCTTTATTATAAATAAAAAAATATAATTTTTTTTGTGAATTAGAGTATAAATTGATCTCTAACATTATTTACCAACTATAAAGAAATCAGTATCCAAATTAGTTTATAATTTAAAATTAAAGACTAATTTCAATAAGTAATAATAATAGTAACTAAAACTATGATATATAATATTATACATCAATTTAGATTTAATTTACAAATCAATATTTTTTATTAACTATAAAAACTATTTTATATATCAATAATTTTTAATTTATAAAATGATATCTAAGTTAATAAAAATAGTGACTAATTGTTTTTTATCTAAAATTATTTTTTAATATTTTGTTGTGATGATACTATTTATAGGTTTTATTTTATTTTAAACTGTAATATAAAATATTAATAAATTAAATAACTCCCCAGGTTTAAATTATTTATTTAAATTTTGAAATAATTTATGTTTATATAGAAATAAAAGTTATGCATAGATTATTTAAATTTAAATATGGGTAATAAATAAGTGAAAGGTGTAAATGGCAAGGACTGATTATTCTGTGTTCAACATTTTATTTGCAATGTCAAATAGCAAGAATATGCTTATGTTATTCCATGCGTGTGCTTGTTGTTATAAGGTCAACAAGAAGACCAAAGAAAGTGACATTCAAGAAGACACAAATAACCAAATTTGCCTTTTATTTCTTATCTGTAATAGTAATTTGGGGACCCTTTGGAAGCTCAAGTAGCAGATTTCTTAGTTTCTTCTGTCACAATTTTCATTCATCCATTCAACCATTCAACAATTCAACACGCACGTGTGCCAACTTTATAATTTTTTTAATTATTTATTTTATTGATAAAAGTTTCAATCAAATCTTTTATTTTTAAAAATAAAATTCTTTAAAAATATTACCAAGTTTCGCAATTTTAAAAATGCAATAATATAACCCTTTTCTATGCGGAGATTAATTGATGGACTAAATTTTATAATTTCTCTATTGATTTTTTAAAATCTAAAACTTTATCAAACTTCATTACAGTCTATATATGATTAATTTTTACTAAGTCACTTTTGGTTCTAAGTAATTCATCTGCTTCAACTATAACATCCACAAATAATTTTTGCTACGTGTTTCTTCAAGCTCCACCAAAAACACAGTTATTATAGGTATGAGTATGGTTCATTGACTAACCATACGTTTTTAAGATAGATTTGTACAACATAATAAATTCAATACAACATGCTTTTTAAAGAAAGAGCACATAAATTCAAACTGTAGTCTTCTGTAATAAAATGGTTGCACATTTGTATACTTTACAACTTTACTTCGTTTTCTTGAGCATTAATTATCTCTTCATGCGTCCAAGAGAGTCTGCTAAGAGTATTTTCTTAAATAAGGGTTTTCAAAAAAGTGGAACCAAGCAATAGATAATTGAAAAAACTCAAATTCTAAACTGTAAAATTACAAGAATGAAAAACAATTAATTTACATGTATTCGTTAATAAAAATACTAAATTTTTAATTATCATAAATATAAGCTTTACTCATTATAATATTGAATTGGGATTATTTATTATGTTGGTTTAAATCTACTAAATTTTAAAAATATATAATATAAATTGAAAATGACAAAACATATTAAAAAATTAGATAATTGTGAGGTGTTTTAGATAATATTTTCACTTTTTGTTTTTTGTTTTTTTAAATTGCATAGTTTGTAATAAAAGCGACTATATTATTATCGTCGGACAGCTTCTTCCCGTGCAGGTGTT